TCATAGAACTATGAGAGGATTATAGGGAAAATTTAACGAGAACCTTTTTCAATGCGATTGCAGGTTATTTGAAATCAACAGAAACTAATTTAAAAAAAAAAATTTCCAAAACACATCTATTATTTCATCTGTTTTTTAAAACCCATTTCCAAAAATCAAATTGTTTTGAGTGTACAAAACACCGTTTGTACCTTTTCAGGCGTTTAGCATTTGTGTTTTTGCTCTACCTATTTCAAATTTTAAATTTTTTTTATATTGTAGGCACAATTTAATTTATAATTCCGACTGTTATGATGACATTAGCTAACCAGATAAAACTTGTTTTTTTTTCTTGATATCACTGAATCGTTTTAAGTGATGAAGATATATTCTGAAAATTGTTTTTTATTATAATAAATAATTGGCTTAAATTGAGCAAAATTTGAGGAAAAACATCATTGATTCCTTGCTTGAATTATAGTTCTCTATAAATTGTGGGTGAATTTATGTAACTCATATATAATCAGCTTTTTGTTGGATTTTCGGTAAAAACTACAGGGGACATACAACTAATAAGTCTTTTTATCGCTACCCAAAATAAAATTTTTCAAAATTTGTGCAATCATTGACAATTTTTTGTTTGCCCAGTTTTTGTTTCTTAATCCTAGTAATTTCAGCATAATTGAAAGAAGCATTTATGAACTTTGAAGAGAAATTTCAGTAGTTGATGAATCTGGAGTACTTTTACTTTATAAAACTTTTTTAGTTTCTAACTTGTTTAATTTACTGACTGCGTTTTGAAAAACAATTATTGAAATATACAATTTATAGTACTTTCCAATAAATAATTTTTTTTGTCTCTAGCAGCAAAAACAGATAAGATAACCTAGTAGAGATATACAAAAACTTCTATCAGTTTCTGTCAAGTCTGTATCATTCCTTACGCGTCTTTTTCTCTGATTCCTCTTGATTTTCGAACTTTTTCTCTGATTCCTCTTGATTTTCGAACTTTTTCATACCTTTTCAGCTGTCAATTAGTTTATGCTAGAGTTAAAAACGGGTGTCAAAAACTTGTCCACTTTAATCAACCAATAATCTGAGTGGGCTTAGTCTCTGTATAATGCAATCACAATTTCCTTTGTTTCTGGCTTTGTCGTGCTATTTATTATCATATCTGTTCTTGCATGTCGTATGAAATCAGTGTTCAATCACCCCTCAATATCACGTTCTTTTTAAGTTTTTGACACTCCTCCAATTCTGTCGATTTTAAATTGAAACATTGACATCTTTGATTTTAACCCTCATTTGTTCTCTCTATCTTAATTTTCTCGAGTCGTCCTTTTTTCGATAAATTTCCTCCTCACAGTTTCCCGATTTCAAACAGCCTTTCTTCCTTTTTTTCTCCTGTTCTTAATTTTGCACCCGAATCTCTCTGCGGTTTCCGACTGAATTGACCTTTGTTCCCAAATGATGTTCTCCCTTCTTTTTCTTGCTTTCTCTGGGACTTTTTTCTCGTTTTTGTTTTTTCTATGGTACTTCCTCTACTCCTTCCTAGACTTCCTTTTCATCAGTTATTTTCATAGGCTCGAGTTAACAAATAAACTTTCATTTTTTTGAAGTGTCTTAACCTCCTCATAACATTTTAAACTTGGTATAAACTTGGCTTTCTCTATTATACAATTGCGAATGATTTTTTGCCACTAACTGAATAAGTCTATCGAACATTGTTCTTTCAGATAACGTATGCTGTTAATATTTAAGGTTCCATCAATCATCCAGGATCAACTCAATCTAGACATCATCAGTTATACATTCCACATTATAGTCCCAAATCAGTCGCATATGTAGTTTGAACCGTATGCAACAAAATTTTTCAGACTATACAAAAACTTTGCGTCAAAAATTGATAGTTTTAAACGAATAAAGCTTCGAGCACAAGTATATTACATTTTTTTTAAAGTTTGAATACTGAAATTTAAAAAAGCTTACGTTCCCTGGTTCTTGTAAACTTTGGACGAAACCACTTTTCCCAAACCAGCTGCATCTGAGTTCTGCCGCACCTATGCTTGACAGCAGAGCTGGAAAATTGTACGTTCTGGTAAAAAAAAACGCTAAATGTTTCAAATGTGCCGTTAGTAATTGATAATCTTTCCAGTATATGAGAAGTGGCAAAAAAGCTTTTTTTGTGATTGAAATCTTACGAAAAGCATCTATTTTGCTAGGGTTTAAAAATTTTGCTTCAATATGTCACAAAACAAGTTTTCAGTGAAAATTTATGTTCCCGGGTGGACATTCATACACCAAAAATGCTTATCATATAGTTTCATACATCAAGTGTGTGGAAAAATTCTTATCAAACACTTTTTGTGCAATTTCGAAAAATGGTTGAAAAAAGATATGAACTAATTTTTGCGGCTGTTTGATTCTTCTAAATCAGTCTGATGATGAAAAAACAGAGGTTTTTGTTTTTTTTTTGAGAAAATTTTTTATCATACAATTTCCATGCATGAAAATTGTATGACTATATTTTTTTAATGGTGACAGTAATTTTGAAATAGCTTAAAAAATTGTTTCTGGTTTTTGAACCGCAAATTGAATTTTGTATTCGAACAAACCTTTTCCAAAAAAAAAAGATTTCGAATGCAAAATTTTGATTTTTTTTGTGTTCAAAACGTAGTCTTGGATAGACTAAGGGAAGGGTGGTTTTTTCCTTATTGCCTAACTCCTTCTTTCAAAAACGCTGAAAACTCCCATTTCCTTTGTATTGCATGTTTATGTATCAATGTCTAATATTTAAAAATTCAAATTTCAAAAATAATCATCGTTGAAAATTTTCCAACAATTAAGTGAGATATTATGTGAATAGAACCTTGTGCCTTTAATTTTCTTCGAAAAAGTTGTATTAAAAATGTGATTTTTTTTTCTAAACTTAAGATCAAACTAACTTGATTTTTTTTCGTAATTTGATTTTAATTTAATTTTTTTGTCCGAAATGAAACGTAATAATTAGGATATTAATTGTGATATCAAGTCTAGATACAATGAAATTTACTAAAATTTTGTTAGTGGCGCTTTAGCAAGTTGAGGATCTTGTTGCTCAACTTGAAGCTCTTTTACTTTTTTAAGTAGCTACAATTTGTTTAAACAATCGTTTTCTTAGTTTCAGTCAGCCATGATTTTTGTGACCGATTAGTATCATTGTGCCGCAGTGTTTCTTGCTCAGTGCCAATTTCATTTTACATTTTTTTTCTAACAATTTTTTAAAAACAAACCTGTCTTAGGTTTTCCAAAAAACGCTATCTGCTATGTCACTAAAGGATTAGTAATAGTCTGTTATAGATTCTTTTTTTTTGTATACAAATTCAGGTACCATGAATATACGTCGAACGCCAGATTGAATTTGAGTAAAAATGAAGATTGAAGCATTTTCAGTCGTGATTCTAGTTTCAAAAAAAGTTTCCAAATGTCTCTGAGTGGCAAGAGGAAGTGGCTTTTTGTTCTTTTTGGACTAATTTACACAAAGGAATGCTTGAGAGACTGATCTATTTACATCTATTATCATACTTGAAGTTGTTGCTTAATTTTTATTTGAACTTAACTTTTCCAAATGGCATGTAGCGTTTTAGTTTTTATACAGTTTTTTTTTTAAATAAAAGAGGTTTGATTTGGATCCTGTTACCGCTTTGAAGCGGCAAAAAATTCGAAGTGCTCTCACTTGTGACCCTATACTAAAAATCGGAGGTTAAAATAATGTTTAAATTTTTGCGAATCGCCCTTTTCTGTATTTTTTGTGTGTAGTCTTTACTTACAAGTTGTCGCCCGTAACTTTTCTTTAAAGTTATTTCAAGAATTTAAATTAATTTTAAGAAGTTAAATTTTAAGCGGCACTTTGAGAAGTTAAACTAACTTCTATGCTTGCTCAATATGATACTCTACCAAAGACAAAACTTTTTCCTTTTTGAAGTGAATGCACAACCTGAAACAAATTCATTTTTTAATCATTTTTCTAATTTGAATAATCATTGATTTTTGTGATCAATTGGTATTATTTTGCTGCAGTGTTTCTTGCTTAAAGCCAATATCAATTTTTATTTCGTTTAGTAACAAGTTTTCGTATACCCACCTGTTTTAAGACTTCAAAAAACACTATCTGTTGCGACAATAAAGGTGTGGTAATAGTCTGTTCGTAGATTGTATTCTTTTGCATGAGAAATCAGGTACCATGAATAAACCTCGGATGTTAGATGAGATTCAAATGTAATTTTAGAATAAAGCATATTCACTCGTGATTCTAATTTATAAAGTCCAAATGTCCATATAATCCAAATGTCTCTCAGTGACAAGAAAAACTGAAATTTTTCAGGTCTTCGTAGTAAATTGCACGGAGGAATGCATGAGAGGTTTTTTTATATACGTCTAGTCTCACGGGCTTTCTTCGTTTTTTTTTGTTTTATCATTGCAGCCTATCTCCTTATTAATTTCTCTTTCTTGTTCCTTCGTTTTTTACTTTAAATTAGCATTTTAAGTAGATTTCTATAGTCAGAACAATCTGTGCTACTCTTTTTACGACATGTAGTGTTTTTATGCTGTCATTTAAGAAATAAATATACTTGATTTAGAGCCCGTTACGACACACTGGCGACCATATACCAAAAATTTTAGGCTTAAAATAACTCTTTAAGCTCAGCAAATTGTCGCTTTCCTTAATTTTTTCGAAGTGACTTCTGTTACGATTATTCGCGGTATCATTTCAATGATTCCGGTCTGAATCATGGTACCGATGATTCCGGTGGGTAACATTTAGTTTCTCATACAGCTAATTTTATCGATCACCCCGAGGTAACGGTCAACGGTCAAAAAATGGAACGAAAAATGGGAGGAACTCTTTCTTAAATATATAACTGCAGAAAACTGAGCTCTTTTTTCCCATTTCTTACCTCTGATGGTAAACGCTAAATATACGGAATTCAGTTTAGAAGGTGTTGGTAATAATGTTCATTGCATATGCAATGTCTTCTTTTTTCAATTGTTCTCTTTTTCATTCAATGTTTGTTATTTAATTCTGTTGTGTCAGTAAAAGGAAATGGCTCACTTGGTCAAAATTTACTGCATTTTTTTGTTTTTGATAAAAGCAGTCAAGCGAAGCATCTTAAATTGCATGCGTTTTATTTCCGTTTGTTCCATTTCAGCTAAGTTAATATTCAGTTGTTTTGTTTTCACGAACAAAATATTTGCCTTGTGAAATCTTCGTGAAAACTTATTTAGGGTTCAGAAAATGATTCCCAAACACATAATTTATTCCCAAATCTTCATCATTTTCTCAGAAACTCTGTTTGCTTTAACGTGAACTGATCTTACCATTAAACATTTCAACCCCAAGTATTATTCTATGGGCTTGCAGAGTTGAGGGCTTTCATATATTCTCGCTTCTTTTACTATCCAAATCATAGTTTGCCATGGTGTGCGATTTAGTAGAAGTTAGCTATACGTATAGTAGCAACCGTGGTTACTCTATACCATATTTCTTTTCTGCGTATTGACTTCAATAGTTTTATAGGTCGATGTTATTGTTGAAGTTTCTTTACCATTCGATTTGAGCAAGTTAATTCCTATTCACTTTGGGAACCTCAAACTTCAACCGTTTGGCTAAAATAAAAGAAAAACTTCATGCTAAAAAACATCAATAGATTGAATTGAATACTGTCTAAAAATAGTCAATAGTTTCTATATTGGTTTCCAATCAAGACTCAGCCAGTATTAAAAACGACCATATATTTAACATACACCGTAATCTCTCTTCAAATTAAAAACACGTTATTCATTTTTTTATTTGCTTAAAAAACAATTGTGTACAGACAGACAGACAGGTATATTGCAGTCAAAGGTACTACCAGTGGTGCTACAATCAATACACCTTTTTTCCTCTTCGCCTTAGAGTCAAATCATGTCTGAAAGCAACCGTAAGTGTAACAAGTTAAAATTTTTGTTCATTTAAGTTGCGTGTGCGGGAGTTTTTTTTGACGTACCGGCGTTCTTGGAACAATTTAGTGTTCTCAGTTTTATTATTTTTCAACAACTTCCCTCTACTGAAACCATAGACTGACTATACTTATCGAATATTTTGGTGAAAATTTGGTTTCAGAGCAGTTTTTGGAAAGCTTCTGGCTTGGGAAGCTTGAGAAAGCTTTTTCCAGAGGGATGAGAAAAGCTTCATGAAAGACTACTACATTTCGCAACAAAAATTTTAAGTTTGTTGACACTTGACTTTTAAAAAAATCATTTCTTTTGACTTCATAGGAACTCAATGCATTTGATCCGGAATAAAATCATTTACCATAACTTCAAAAAACTCAATTCCAAAATTAGTTCAATTACACGTAGCTATATTACTAGAACTTAAGTATAAAAAACTTTTACCATTGAAAACCCAAAAAATAGTCCAAAAGCGTACCGCTTTTTGTTCGTAGGGTAGAAATTATTATTTTGTTATTATTTTTTGAAATAATTATTTACAAAAGATGTAATTTGTGTAAACACACAGAATTGCCGTATAAAATCATTAAATTAGTTAAAATAATTTTGGAATTGAATACAAAATGTTCTATCAGTTAACGGCACTTCATAGATTTCTTTAAGAAATTTAGGTTTACTGCAGCATTCAAATCGCGTTCTTGACAAAATAATGATAGGTTACATCTTATAGTCGATTGCTGCTACTTTTCAATTCGAGATGACAACGTTATCAATTTTTGAATAAAAAAAAATAAAACATGTGATCTCTGCGCGATTTAAAAATTTTGTTTCTGCAGTATTCATAGTTGAAGGTCATTTGCCAACTCAAAACCGCAATTAGTTTGGCTAGTTTCGTTATTTTGAGCAATGATGGTTATCTATGACGTGAAAAAAATAGAATTTCAAGTGTATAGAAAGAAAAATGGTTAGTTATTTTGTTCCAAATGTCTTAGAATTAGAGTTTACGCAACAACCAAAAGCAGAAAGCAAAACAGGAAAAAATGGCCATCTTCAGGAATTTTTTTTTCCATTGTAATTTAAGGGGAAAAATTTGAAAAAAAGAGCCGTTAAATTGAAGCAAGCTATATGAAATGACTATGGACATAAGCACGAGTAGCATTGCCAGCACCAAGGCTCTTTTTCCTTTTCCCACATACGAAATTTTGTAATAAAAAGTTTGTTTATTGTTCGATAGCAATATAATTTGGCATGTAAACTAATTAGTTAATTAGTTTTTACTAGTAGGATTAAGGCGGAGAATTTTGTTTTGTTAGTGCTTGTTTAGGACATTATTTTGAGGCAATCAACCCTAGAAAAATTTTTACAGCGCAATCGGAGCCTAAATTAGATAAATTAGAGAGAAAAGAGCACAATAAAAAAGGTCAAATTTTCGCAGCTTTGAAAAACGCAGGTAAGAGGGCGGCGCAAAACAGGGTTTTCATAGTGTTGTGAAAAAACTCGAAAAATCAATTGATTGACTTTGAAAAAACGTCGACCAAAATTGTTTCCAACTGATTTCTGCATAAAATTGATTGTAATGAAATGTTGGACGGGGGAGGGGAAGGAAAAAGAGTGAAAATCAGGGTCCAAATGTGGGTGTGGGTAGTAGACTGTTGAGTTGCATCAAGTGTTCCGACTTCACTCCAGATGGTCCAGAATGGGTGTTTGAGGAGGCCTCCAGACTCATAGAGGAGGGCGTGGTCAAGGTGGACCATTTTGAGAACATCTACAGACTGCCCAAGAAATTCGAGGGGTCGCCCAACTGGAGACAGGCTAGGGGTGAGTACATTCATTATTGTTTAAATCGTAAGTGTGTACAAAATAATTACGAGGGTAACTGGTTGTAATCAATTGCTGCACTTTTTGCAATTGAAAGCAAAATCAAGGAAAATGATATTATACTATAAAGGTTAAAATGAGTGATCTTTATATTGTAAACAGGGATAGTCGGTTGCTGTCTGAGTAGTAAATAAAAAATTTCAACCATTTTTCAAAAAAAAAGTTCACAAATCAATTTGATTCCTGCAAAACTTTAAAATGTTGAAATATCATTCATAAAAATGAAAAAATATTTTTCGTCTAGATAAACTAGATTCTAATCAGAGTTGTATAAGTGCACATTAGTTTTCGAGACATTTTAGAACCAAGAAGTTCATTAGGATGCCAAACTGTGTCTTTTGCGAAACTTAAGCAGATTCCGCATCAAGCCGAAAACAAATTTGGGACAGAAACTGAACTCTTGTTATTTTTTGATCATCTTTGCTGTTTTGGGTTCCACAAACAAAAAGCTAAAACACCGTATCGCTCAAAATTGGTTACAGTTTGCGGAATCCACTTACATCATTATATTATACCTTTTAATTTTGCGGAATCCGCTTACAATTGCGGAATCCATTTAAATTTGGGGAATCCGGATCAAATCACTATTTTCGCTCGCCACTACAGAACCAATGTGCCGAAAAAACTTCACAATTTCATCACGTGTTGTGTTTCTTTTTTAGGTTGAAAAGTTTGCACTCTCAAGTATACTTGTTTTTGATTTGTCAGTTTGTTTCTTAGGCTGATTCTAACTTCATTTAGTAAAAGGAGGGCTAATTAGGTCGATATCGAAAATACAAAAAGAATGAAAACCTAATTAAATTTCAAACTTTTCTGATAAGGTTTTGGCTATGTTTTCTTAAAGACGTCGCGTATAACTCTCTTCTATGTAAAATTTTTGTCACATTACATTTTTTATCAAAATGTTATTCAGAAGCAAACTTTTCTGGCTGATTCTTACCATATACATTTTTACCTAGCCTGAATTTTGATTACAAAAATTCATATAAATTTATCATGAATTGGCAAAAAAAATGTTTTTGTTCAATTCAGTGCAATCAAAATCATATATTTTTGTCTTTCTGTACTGGGGAGGGTAGAAGTAACTGAAAATACGAGCAATGGCCAGTTACCAATAACCTAATTAAGGTCAAAAGTTTAAAAGGAAACTTTTTTCTCGCATAGCATAAATGACATCTCAATTTAACGTGTTTTGAAACATATTCTAAAAAGCAAAACATTGAGATTGACTTTTGACAAACTGATTGTTTTGCCATTTTATCTTTTATAATGAAGCATGCTTATCAAACTAAAATCTATAAAAACTGAAGGATATTTTGAGGTAAAAAAATTATTTCATTTCTTGCAAAACAAATCTTCTTGTGTCAATGTTGCTAGTTATAACAAAGCCAATCGCTTTGTATGCCTCATTTCAGTTCGCACAACACACGCAGATGAATATCACAAACCTAGTAACTAAAAAATTTCAAGGTCTACTTTTTAAAGGTAATAAACGAAGTGAAGTCTCTTGCATAGTGATTTTTTTTGTTTCTTGAATGCTCTAGTAACTACACATGTGCATTCATACATATTAATGTACTAATGAATGTACTAAAGTATATATGCACTTTTTGAGTTCAATGAAAATTGACATGCTGAAAATTAGATAAACAGCACTCTCGAAATACGAACGTGAAAATGGCGAAAAAAAGGTGTATGATTTCTAGTTTTAAAATTGAGTTTTCATTTTTAGATTTCTCAGCGAAATAAAGCTTTAACAGTGACCAATTTTTCTCGAATTGGGTTAAATTTATCAAAAAAGTACCTATCATAAAATGTTCTGCAACTTCAAAGAATTTTAAGGGCGTTTATTTTTTCTTGTAAACTCAAAAGTTTAAGTTTATTCAAATTTACCATTATGTTTTTAAGAGTAATGAACATAGAGAAGACTCGTATACAGGTCTTGCTTTTTTGTTTTTTTTTCAGAAAAGTATTAAGAGTCTCTAATAACTACAGATGTGCATTCATACATATTGCTGCATTTATGAATGGACTTAGGTAAATATGCACTTTTTGAGTTCAATTGAAATTCAACTGCTGAAAGTGACGTAAATAGCACTCTCCTAGAACTAACGTGGAAATGGCGCAAAAAAAACGCGAACGAAATCTAGTAGTATGAAAGAGCTTACAGGGCATCCATTTTTTCTTTGAAATTCGAAAGTTGAGATTTTTTCAAGAAAGTAATTGTTTTTTTTTTATGTTTCCTTGCGTTAATTACTCTTTTCCAACTGCCAATTGACTATGCTGTCAACTATAAGCAGAAATATGTGATAACAAGTTGTCATGAGGGAAATTGGTCGTCAAGGTGTCACATGGTAGCTATTTGTATATATGCAAAATACGACAGCTATTCAGCTTCTGCAGTTATACATTTTGACCCTCCGGTTAAGTTATGCAATATTTCACTTTTGAAGGGACGGGGTGCGACAAAACATGAGGACGCAAGGCTTTTTCAAAGCAGTAAGAAGACGTATAAACTTTTTAGGGGGCTACAACGTGGTGGGCTCAGGTCAGTCCACGGTAGAGGGTCTCAAGTCCATCCTCAAATTCTACACGGGCGAACTGGGATGGAAGAAGGTCATCTTCGTCAACATGCGCTCCGAGCCAGTCATCTATGCCAACAACTTCTCGTACGGGCCAAGGAACCCACACAACTTGAATGAAAATATTGAACTTAATGGTTAGTTGTATCAAAGTGTTCATGGTCATTGGAAAGTGTTTCTTTAAATTGATGGGAGGATAGCTCTGTACCGTTGAATTGTGATGGAATTATATGCAGATGAACAGAGGGAATATCTTTATGCTCTGAATACTTTTTGCCACAAAATACGAAGAAATATAAAATTATCCAAAAAAAAAAAAAGAAAGAATTCTTCACAAAAGGGAGCCGAACTTCAAGATAACCATAAAAATTGCAGTTTCTCTTTATGCACGGTTTCAGCGGTGAGCTAATCAGTTAGTTTTTAAGTTGTCACTCGAGGTTAAGCTGCATTATTTTTTGCAATTAGTTTCAAATATTAGTTTCAAATATACAAGTATCAAATATGGAAACGAAATTGTTACTTTTTCTTCTAAGGTCTGAACACTTCGGACGTGGAGCGACTGCAGTTGATTCTGGTAAACACTCTGAAGAAAAACGCCAAGGAGTCTTCCAATGGATTTGTGTACCACAAAGACACCTACGCAGAGGTTAGAATTCGATAGATTTCCTTCTAAGACATGTGTCAAATAGCAAAAAAAAATGGAGGCAATATTGATATTTGACTCACTTAAGGTTAAATAAGAAAAACATTTCCGAGATCCGGTTTATATGATCTAACTTGCTGGTCTGACCATTTCAAATTCCCCGTTTTTTTCCTAAATCATTGTAAACAAATTTAAGTTTGTTAAAGTCGGCGGCAACATAAAGGCGAAATATAATAGAGCCAAAAAATTATTGTTAAAAAATTGCTGGCAATAAAAAGATATCGCTCTATATTGATTTCAAATGGGTTATTACGCTTGCGATTAGCACGTGTTATCAAACTGGAATATAGACTTTTTGTGGTCATCATTTTGTGAATGTGGTGTGTATTGATCATTCATAGTTTACCTCAATTGGTTGCAATATTTTTCCAAAATTAGATACTTATTTGATATTATCTTTTTCAAAAATTTTTGCCAGGAAATTGATACATTTTGTTGTTTGAAAATTGTTATTACTTTTTTTTACCCAAAAATTTAATTAATTTGATTTACCCAAATTGCGACTTTTGAAAACTATATTCAAATTGAAAGGTTTTGAAAGCAACTTATTTTTTGAGGTTTTGATGTTTAAAGAGTTCTTGCAAATTTCTATAAATTGATATGAATCCATTTTTATATTCAGTCAAATAGATGAATAAATCTACAGCAAATTTTTTTTAAAACTGATCGAAAATATAACATCTTTCCAGACAAAATTCTTTAGTTGTGTTTTTTTAACTTTTTTTTCTGCTTGGTAGCTTGCAATGTTTTGTTCGGGTGGTTTCACAAGAGGTGCGAAGCTCTGATTCTTCTCTGGATGTAAGCTCAGTTTGCATCACCTTAGAAGCATTTTGAACGAACTCAAATCCTTTTAGATTTATGCAGGTACTAAAACATTATTCAATTTCAATCAGTGTGAAAAACTTTTTGTCACTCTGATCAGTAAAACTGCTCTTGTATGGTATTGAAAACTTTGTCAACTTTGTTTTTTGAGCACTTACAACGAATGTTGATTGGAAAAATTTGATTTTTATCTTAGAAAAAATTCATCAAAAAACTGTTTTCTGTTTTCGTGATGGGTTTTGTGTTTCAAAAAAAGCTTAAGGCTCAAAATATTTTTTCTCTGCGTGGTTCTTCATTTTTAAAATTTAAGCACAAACAGTGTTAATCCTTGATGATTTTCTTACTTTTACTACAAAACTGCACTGGTTTTCATACTTTTACGGAATAAGACGCTTTTTTGTTCAAAATTAAATTTTTAAAAACTTTTTCATTAATTTTTTCAATTTTTTTGCTAAGAAAACGAATTACTTTTAACGTTTTAAAATTTTATGACAATCTTTTTTGCTCAAAATCTGATAAAATCCCATTTTTTTATCAGAGCAATCAGTGTTTTTGTGACCATTGTGTGATTGAAAAAAAAACGAAATCGAATTCAATAGAATTAAAATGTTATGAGATGTTGACGGCTAAGTAGTATATTAGAAAATAGTTGAATGCTTCAAAACAAACCCGCACCGGAGTTCCATGGATAATAATCGATTATATTGAATTTTCGTGGTCTGTCTCAAAAAATTCCGATAATAATCGATTATAATCGATTAAAAATGGATTATAATGAAACTATTTTTCTAATCAATAAAATCCGAATATAATCGATTATTTGTGAAAGAAAATGAAACTTGTTTTCGAGGCAAAAGAATCCATTATAATCAATTATAATCGATAGTAATGGATTTTTTCGAGAGGTTAGTCGTGAAATATACAACTTTCTTTAAAAGTTACCGCATTTCATGTTTAGTGCAGTTGGTACGTATTAAGTTTTTAGGCTTCATATATGTTGCATTTCACTTTTCAATCTTTATAATTTGGTCTTATAATATACCCCGTCTTTTAATTTGAGTAGGTTTAGATTGCGAGTAGGCCGTGAGTAACGCAGAAATGTTGCAAGTTTTGCAAATGATTTTGCAAAAAATGTATAGATTATAATCCATTATAATGGATTGTGTTTTTACGAAAAGAATCGATTATAATGACAAAATAATCGATTACGTGGTCTAATTTTGCCACAATAATGGATTATAATGACAACATTTTAGACACCATTTTTCCATTATAATTAATTATTATCCATGGAACTCCGGTGCGGGAAGGTTTTTTTCCTAGCTCAAAGGATCTTTGTTTATCGACGTGCGGGTAATACATATCTTTATGGCAGGGTTATAAGGTTACATCAAAATGGCAGAAGTAACTTATTATTCAGTGTTAATTTTACTAACTCTACTTCTGTTTTCTCAGGTGCCGGAAGATAGGAAAGACTACGTGTGTTCTGAGCCATGTGACATAAAGAATATCCTGAGTGTGACTGAAGTGTATTCGAAGATGAAGGAGGACTTTGAGGCACTCGACATCCTCTTCTTCAGACTCCCAGTCAACGACGAGAGGGTTCCCAACTTAGAAGACTTTGACCGGTGGGTACTTAACTATAAAAAAACTGTGTAAGATTCCATGAACGTAGTTCAGACACTCCTATATATGTCGCGATATTTTTTTTCAAGAAAAGTCTTAGAATGCTCCAACATTTTACAGTAGTGCATTCAGATATCTTCTGAAATTTATTTAATTATAATTTAATTACAATTATAAATTAAAAAGCGCAAAAATAAGATGAAAATGTAAGCGAACGTAAGAATTGAAATGTAGAAAACAATCAATCGAGATCAGCGCTTCCCCGTCAAAATTGATGTTTTTTGGCGCCAAAGGCGCCTGAAGAAAGTTTTTAGGGCTGCTCGCCGAAAACAGATGTCATAAAAAAAACCAAAGTGAGACCTTTTCGTTAGTGCGGGGGTCAAATCCCTGAGAAATAGAAAGGCCCCCAGCCCGCCCTTAAAACTCCTCTGAGTGTCATGAAGCTCAGAGTCATCACGGTAGACTGGAGTTCCGTTGGACAATGGATCTCAAATGGAGAAAGACTTGCTGACTTCTCCCTGCTGAACGACCTCGTAGTCAGCAGCACGACGTTCCGCAAAAAAAAGACATACGCTCCACACTTGGACTTCAAACGACCACACAACGAGGAACCAGATTGATCACATTGTCATCTCAAGACGATGGCGCTCTTCCATAACAAACATCGACAACATCCCAAAGTTCAAGTCCGACAGCGACCACAGACCAGTAGTCTCCAACATACAGCTGAAACTGAAGTCCCACACAAAACAGCTACGCGTCGTCAAGTATGACCTCGCCAACCTCCGCAAGGAGAAAGTCGCCACCGCATACAAAATGAATGTCCATGAGCTGTTTGACAAGGCGGAAGCTAAGCGGAACGTGGACGCGATGCGGACGCAAATGAAGGACATCATACTCTCAGCGGCAGCATAAACCATAGGATGCACAAAACGCAAGAAAAACTCGTGGATCAGCACCGAGACCCTCCAACTGATCGAAAAGAGAGCCCGTGCCCGCAGGGGCTCTACAAAAGCCTTCCTACGACGAGAAGTCAAGAAATCGGTCCGAAAGGCGTTCTACGACGGACTGGCTGAACAGATGACCCCGGTGACTCACGGAAGGTGCACTCAATTGCTAAGCAACTTTCCAGTAAACCCAGTGGGTTCAGCGAGAATATCAAAGACTCACAGGGGCAGCTGGTGACGGACGCTAACGAGAAAATAGAAACCTGGGCAATGCACTTCGAACAACTGCTCAGCACACCCGCACCAGCGGAAACATACATGGAAATGAACACGGCTAAGCTCTTCTCTAGCGTTGACACGGCACCGCCCTCCACGCAAGAAATCCGGGATGCAATAGACAAACTGAAAACAAACAAAGCCGGAGGAATTGACAATATGCCTCAAAAAATTTCAAAGAAGGAGGACTCCCACTGCTCGAGAAGCTCACCGAACTAATAAAGAACATCTGGACTAAGCGCGAGATCCCAGCAGAGTGGAAAACAGCTGTGATCACGTCCATCTTCAAAAATGGCGACCGAGCTAACTGTTCTAACTACAGGGGAATTTCGCTACTCTTGGTTACATTCAAAATTCTCGAAGCAGTAGTTAAGAACAGACTCAAACCGGCTTACGAGTCTCACGCCAGGATAAACCAAGCCGGCTTCAAGAAGAAAAGAGGTTGAAGGGGCCAAATCTTTGCCATCAGACAAATCGTAGAACAGCGAGAGGAATTCAAACGCTGCACCAACCTCATCTTCATTGATTTCGAAGCGGCCCTCGATAGCGTAGATCGTAACTGCATTTGGCCAATATGCTCAAACCTTGGCCTCCCTGAGAATCTAGTTAAACTGCTCAGAGCCATGTATTCAGAGACGTATAGCCAAACCCGCGCTTACAACTCCCTTTCTAAAAGTTTCGAAATACATAGTGGAGTCAGACAAGGCTCGATTCTATCCCCTTTCCTTTTTTAACCTCACTATAGACTGGATCATGAACAAAACGCTGAAATATGAAAGACTCGGAATAGCGCTAGACGACACGTCAGTCGCAGATCTAGATTTTGCAGACGATATCTGCCTCCTTGAGGATAACGGCCCAGACGCGCGAAGACTGCTAACAAAAATAACCGAGAAGGCAGCTCTCATTGGGCTCCAGATTAACGTCAGCAAGACAGTTTTGTTCACAAGACCCATCCCAGACGTTTCAAATTGACGGCGAGGACATCAAATTAGTGGAGAACCACGAGCATCAGGGCAGCAAAATCCAACTTGATGGAAACATCTCCCCGGAGATTAAATCAAGGATTGGGAAATCAGCTGGCAGCTTCAAAAACATGAAGAACGTCTGGAAAGCCAAGAAGAGCCCACAAACCCTTAAAGTAAACCTGCACATGGCCTGCGTACGGAGCGTCTTGCTCTACGGTTGCAAAAGCTAGCCAATCAAACAGTCGGATCTGAAATCCATCCAAGCATTCGAGAACAGTTGCCTAGGACACATCTTGCGCAGAAGAACGACTACTGCCCCCACGGTTGAACTGTTGAATACAGCTAGGCTGACACCCCTGGCCAAAACTATACAAGCTCGAAGGTTGAAGTGGCTGGGTCATGTGCTCCGCTTGGACCAAAGAGAAATCCCCAAGGCAGCTTTAGAATTCGAGCAAATAGAGAACTGGCGAAGGCCACCCGGCGGTGTGAAGCAGACTTGGCGAAAGATTATCGGAGACGAACTCTCAATGCCCATCAAACCCCCCCCCCCCCCCGCATGACACATAAGAAGTGGGAAAAGGAATGGTTCGAAATCAGCACAGAAGCCGCGAGCGACATAGGCCAACGGAGAGGCCTTGTTCGAGCATCATGGTGGGCAATGGGCAATGATGCCTGCAAAAACCCCGATTGGACTTGGACGGTACACTGAAAATGGTGTGAAAACCGAAAATTTTCAGACGAAGTTTTCTCACAAATGGAGGCAATTCATTTTTTATTTGTTTTCACCCTTGAAAGCTTTTCTTAAGCTTGTCAAAAAGGAGAAAAAATCAGCTCACCCTATGGCATAGTTACTCCCTTCCCTTCGTGAAGTGGGTGAAACAAACAATGTAAAGTTTTGAACTTTTATGAACAAAGTGACTTTTCACTTAATTACATTGAGCGATTTTCTGTCTTTTCGTAGGAAAATCTTAGCAATCTCCTTGTAATCCTTGTAAGACTAAAAATTTACAATGAAGTGAAACGTAGTTTGTTTTTCCACGCAAATTGAACTCCCGTACCAAACAATTGCAAATAGACCAGATCTGATCAGCTTTATGGCAGGAGTAAATAGATCCAGGTCCGCACAGATCAGATCAGACACACATGCACAAAAGAAAACAGACATGACTCACCTCTGCACAACGCAAGTAAAAGTAAATGCATTATACTCGCTTTTGCTGCTTGTCAACGTGCTAACAATTTCCAATTTAATTCTTATAACTTTTGCTGCGCAAAACAATTTTAACTATAACAAAGTTAGATATTGACGTGACTGAATATAAATTGGGAGAATGTTTTCTCAATTCAATTGATCATAATCTGGGTGCAAATATGATAAATGGGTCCTGTTTATTTGTTTGAATTGCTTAAAAACATAAAAAACAATAGCCAGAAGCTGCTTCTAAAGCTTTTAGAACCCTGATTTTTAACTGAGCAATCAATCAAAGTTTTTTAGAACCAGATGACATAATTGTACCTCATTTTCTTTTATGGAAGCTTATAATTCGACTTAAATTATCGCCTTTTTATTAACTTCCCATAATTTTCTTTAATTTTTTTTTCACTTTTCTCAGATAACTTCAATTAAATGAGTCCATCATAAGTTTTTATTTCTAATATTCAGGCGGAAAACGAAAACTCATCCATTCATTTAGTAAGTTGTATTCCAATTTTATTTTAGGGGCGGATTTAGGGGGAAGGGAGGGGGCGGATTTAGGGTGAACGCCCCCCTCGGGGATTCGACCCCATGCCGACCCAAAGGGTCTTTAATTTTTACTATTTTTAGATATCGATTTTTGCTGACAGATCCTGAAAGCTTTTAAATCAAACGCGGATTTTAGTCAACATTTTCCAAAAAATAACTAAATACACTCTTTTTGGCCTCTTTTTTTTGCAATTATGGCCGCAGAAAATTTGGCCACGACAGGGAATTTTACTGCTTCAAGAGAGCTTGGAAAATCATTTTGGTTGAATTAAAAAAAACTCGATGAGCTCTTCGAAAATTTTTGAAAATCCCCCCTCGAAAAAAATCCTATACCCCCCTATTGTTGAGGTATGTTTTTGACTGTGCTCGACTTGTTTCGATCGTGTTTGACCTATGTTTCGACTGTGATTGACCAATGTTTCGACTGTGCTCAACCTGTTTCGACTGTGCTCGACCTATGTGTGGACTGTGCTCGACCTATGTTTGGACTGTGCTCGACCAATGTTTCGACTGTGGTCCACGTATGTTTTAATTTTCTCGGTCAAAATCGGGTATGATTCGCCTGTGCTCGAGGTATGTTTGGACCTTGCCCGAGGTATGTTTTGACCAAGCTCGAGTTATGTTTCGACCGTGCTCGATGTGTGTTTCGCAGCTCTGATACATGTCTGAGCAGATCTGAGTCAGGTCTGAATCAGATCTGAGTCAGATGTGAATCAGAACTGCTCAGACTTGCTCAAAAGTTATTCATCAGATATGCTGCAGGCGTGAATCAGCTCTGCACAGGGTTATTTTAGAAATGCTACAGATCTGATGCAGACTTGGAAAAGATGTGATTTAACGTTGATCAGATCTGATTTTCAATAATATGTTTGGTACGGGCTACCTCTTGCTGAATTTGATGATTGATTTTTTGTGAAAGTCTTCAAATCAAATCATAAGGGACACTGACGTTGTTTTTGTGATGCTTTAGACTGGTGAACTACCTGAAGGGAGAACTGAGTGTGACCACTGGCATGCACTTCAACTGCCAGATGGGCAAGGGCAGGACCACCACTGGAATGGTTCTGGCATGTCTCATCACTGCCAAGGTCCTACAACAGTCCATAGGACAGGACCAGTCAGGTAGAAGCACTTGGTTACTATTGTACGACATACGTTTTTGGTCGACTAGCCCTAAAGGCACCAATAGTACAAATTTGACTGAAAAAGGCGCACTTCTGATCAAAGTTTTCCAAAAAAGTGTCCAAAAGAAACTATTTGTTCTGTTTCTCGAAAATTTGCTTGCCTGCGGCCTAGGAAAGTCGTCAAAAGGGTCTTCCTAGTGTTTTGAGAGCGCTCGGAAAAATCTGCCTTATATTCCACCGTATGAAACTAAAAAGTAAAGGCCGACATTTTTTTCTAAATCCACCCTCGAGAAAATCTAAGCTCCGTCCCTACCACAGAGAGACAGTTACATGTGTAACCATATTAAAACTTGCAAATCATATTATTAAATTTCTGCATTATGTCTGTGCTTGTTGTGCAGATTTGCCTGCTGAAGTCTGAAAATGTTATGCACCCGACTTGTAGAAACTTAAGATAAGCAGGGGATCGGGAAAAGTGATTACAGGGTGTTTTCAATACTTGATTGTTATGAATCCTCTTTCATTGAACAAACATTTGGGTTATTGAAGTGATTCTTTTTGCAATTCGCCGAAAAAATTTGCCGAACTCTGATGATATAGTTCATTCTGAGTTGGATGTTTTTTGTTCACGCATGTTTTTGGGTTTTATTGAATATTCACTCCATTTTGCAATGAAAAAGTTACCATAGCGCTGCTTTAGAACAAGTGGATAAAATGAACTAAAACAGTATTTTTAAACTATTTTTTTTTTCAACTTTGATTTATGTGGCCTTAAAACGATGAGGAAAAAAACACTCAAATATTTGGTAAACGAGAGAGGATTTTTAAAAAAAAACACGTTGTATGATGATTGTGACGTCTGTGAAGTTGGAAACATGTACTTTTTCGATTCTATTCCACAAAAAGGGATGAAAACTAGATCATAATCATAACCTTTTCGAGCCACCCTCTTTCCAAAGTTTTGAACAAATTTCAAAAATTTTGGCTCAGAGAGACTGTGTTACCAAAAAGTTGAGAAGTCGGCAACAGATTTGATAAAAACTATAAAAAGGTCAAAGAAAGTTAATTGAGCTAATCTGACTGCCTAGTCTTAGCCTAGATAAAAATGGCTCGAAACTGGCTTAGCGCGCTTGGGTTCAAAAATTCTCGTTTTGACAGTTAATCTGCAGAAAAAAAAACAATCGTCATCATTTTTAATTTTGACAAACTATATCTGTTATGTATACTTTTTACTTTCTATTAGCCTTTGTATTTTTTTGTAATTTATTTTGACCAAAACTATAAAATTGAATCAGTAATTGACTTCACATTGTCTAGCCACACATTCAATCTGAGTCTTTTTTTTGAAAACTAATTGATTCATAATCGGTGGTGCTCAAAAAGCAAACTAGCAAAATTTCAGCCTAATCAGCCCAGTAGATTCAAATACGTATCTGTTGCCAACATAACAGACGCATGATTGTGATATTTTCACGATCCTTGTTGGGTTTCATCAAATTTTTTCCTGTCGAGTAGGTGCTAACGGGGACTCTTCTGTGGCGACTGCGGGGGGAGGAGTGGGCGTGAACAAACCAGGCACCCTTGAGAACGGGGAGTTCCAGATCATCTTGGACTTGTGTGCTGCTCTCTCGTCTGGCAAGACAATGAAGGCCGAAATGGACTTCATCATAGATGCATGCGATCACATGCAGAACCTCAGAAAATGTATCTGGGAAACAAAAGTGAACCTTTTGCTTTTATTGAATGACTTTTAATAATAATAATAACAATAATAATAATCATAATAATAATAATAATAATAATAATAATAATAATAATAATAATAATAATAATAATCATAATAATAATAATAATAATAATCATGATAATAATCATAATAATAATAATAATAATAATCATAATAATAATAATCATAATAATAATAATCATAATAATAATCATAATAATAAGAATAAGAATAAGAATCATATTAATCATAATAATCATAATAATCATAATAATAATCATAATAATCAAAATAATAATAATCATAATAATAATCATAATAAAAACAATAATAATAATCATAATCATAATCATAATAATAATAATCATAATAATAATAATCATAATAATAATCATAATAATAATAATAATAATAATAATAATAATAATAATAATAATAAGAATAATAATCATATTAATCATAATAATCATAATCATAATAATAATAATAATAATCATAATAATAATAATAATAAGAATAATAATCATATTAATCATAATAATAATAATCATAATAATAATAATAATAATAATCATAATAATCATAATAATCATAATAATCATAATAATAATAACAATAATAATCATAATCATAATAATAAATTGTTTCCAATCAAGGGTTAACAATATAATCACAGGGTTCTTATTCAATCGCTTACGAATATAAAGACTGGGAGGACGCCATTGGGCTGCACGAGTTGTTTTCGGGCGCTTCAAATAGAAAAAAAAGATAGCCTGCTTTGCACTTGAAATTTTTCTGTTTTATGCGTCTATAAAATAGATAAGAAACAGTGAAATGTCAGAAAAAGAACCGTGGATTTTTACGGCTGCTTGAGTAAATATGAAACAAAAGACAATTTTTTAAAATGTTTTTTTTTGCTGCCTCACCCGAAAAATTTATGCTGCCCCACCCGAGAGATGTATCAGAATAAGAAAGTGTAGAGTATTTTGAAAAGAGAAAGAAAACAACCCGTACCTTACAAAAACTTGGAAACCAGATCTGAGCATCGTCAAGTCTTGCCTATTTCAGATCTTGTCCAGACATGG